AGCGTGCCCGGTGGGGCAGCCTCGGGCGGCACTGGCCGTGCCCTCCTGGCCCCCCCTGCCCGCCCGCGGAGGTGTCGGGGCCTTCCCCAGGGCAGTGCTGACTGGCAGCGAGTGCAGTGACAGAGCTGAGGATTTGCACCCTTTAGGTTTAAGGACGTGCACGGGCAAGCTCCTGGGAAATCGTGTTATGCTTGGTTTGTCTTACAAAAAGTGCGAGGAGATGTTTTGGTGAGCTGACAGCTAAACCACCCTCGAGACACTTTTTCATCCAAGCCGCCCTTTCCCATTCTGGCAGCGCTTCTCTGCGCCATTTCTAACTTTGCTCACTTGGTTTAAAGCCTTGATGGGCCCGGCTGGCCGGCGCAGCGGGGGCAGGAGGGGCTCCCTGCCCACCCTTTGCTGGCCCCAGCCTGCCCGCCTCCCCGCAGGAGCACTGGGGCTGCGCCAGTCTGCCCAGTACCACCCGGCAGGGAACTGGGCTAAAGCACTTCTGTGCTGAATCTTTAATGGTCTGTCTTACCTGAGTTTTGTTCTTGTTTTCCTGCATGGCGCTCTCGGTTCTGGACGTTCTGGGTCTGTGTCTCCGTTTAGACTTGCGTGAGTCCCCGTGCCCGCGGCAGGAAGGCTGGGGCTGCCAGCAGGGATTCCTCAGCCTGAGGGTTCAGGGTCTTTTCGGAAAATGAGCTTCTTGGCACGAAAAGAACTAGGACGTGTATGTCCTGACACTGAAGTTCTTTCCAAGTCAGTGTTTCTGTGGCAGAGGGGATGTTCCTGTGGTTGCTGTGAGTATTTAAAATGCAGCTGCACAACAGAGATTGATTTCCATGGACCTTACCTTAGGGATTTACAGGATCTCCAGCCAATCTGACCCCCGGGCAGGGTTCCCCCCTCCCAGTCGCAGCATCATGCACCGCTGCATTTTTTCCCTGCCCGGTGCCGCTCTTGGTGTCAGCGCGGGGGCACCCGCCCCTGGCTGGGGAGCAGCCCCCGACAGCGGGGACGGAGCAGAGGGGCTCTGCCACCCCAGCGCCGCCGAGGCTGAGAACCACTTAATATGCAGGACCCGGGGAGGGCGTCAGTGAAATGGTAAATACAGCAGCAGAATAAACCAGACATAATCTTCAGCAAAAGCAAGAAGTCCCGGCGATGAGCATTTTGGTGGCAAATCTGCAGACTCTCGGCACACGAGGCTACGAGCAATTTGCATCCAAACTCTGCTCCCAAGTCCTTCAGCTGAAAAAGGCTAAATCTGTGCGGGAGAGCGGGAATGCTGCCTGAGAGACGCCTCAATCAGTGGATCGACTTTTTTGCCTTCGTATTTCGCCTATTTCACCCATTTTTCCTCTGCAGGAGAATGCAAATGCTGTTTCCTACTGTCCGCTACCTTCCCTGCAGCTCTTGCGGGGGCGAGTACAGAGCAGTGGATGTTGTGTGCACCCAGAGGCGCGGAATAACCGCACGGGGAGGCACTAGAAGGAATTTAGCCCTGGAAGGTAAAGTAATCTCACGCAGAGATACCAAGGGTCTTTGCGCTGCCTTCCTGGTGCTGGACGCTACCTGTGGGGCCTTTCCGCTGGTCCTGCTTTGCAAAAGCACGTGGCATCCTTGCTTTTCTGTAAGCAGGTGAATTGGTTTTGGTCAGCTTTTTCTGGAGGGAAAAACGAGGGATTGGCCCCTGGCTGAGAGCCGGGCAGCCACACAGGGACGCTGAACCGAAGAGCTGGCAACAGAGTAAGCTGTTGGAGATGATCAAATAGAATGGAAAATATTCCAGAGCTGCCAATGCGTCTGACGGTGCGCGGCTTATCAGCTTGATAGCTTTTATATGGGAGTAGCTCAGAGCTGCTGAGATTACCCACGATTTTCATAACACATATTGGACCAGCAGCCGTGTCCAAATGGGAGGGACCTGCATGTGCCAGAACAAGGGCGCTCAGGCGTCAGCAAGCATCTGCTGTGGCAGAAGACCAAAACCAGCAAAGGCTAATTCATCGATGGCTTATTATTTGAATTTGTGTCCCTGTCCTGAGCGCGGGCTGCGATGGGCTCGTCTGCTGCCTCCTCTCCCCGGGCTGCCTGTCGGGCAGTCACTGGCATTTCACGCTGCCCGCGGGTCAGGTCCAACTCGATCAGCATCGGTTTATTATGAGATGCCTGGAGTGATTTTACTCATCGTGTCTGTCTCAAAACAGTTCAAGAGAATGTTTAAATATTATTTCTGGCTCCTTCAGCTGCTCACTCCAACAGCTTTTTCATGGAAGTTTCCATGCTGCTCTGTCAAATGGTAAGATTTTTTTCCCACTGATTTACATTGGCCTAAAAACATTGAAGTAGACTGAAAAAAAGAAAATATTTTCTTTGTGCTTTCAAGGCATTTCTGTGTGAAACGGCCAGCTCCTGCTGGGCCCATGGCACGGATAACTAGCAGCAGAAGGGAGCTGACAGCAGCTTGGTGCGGTGTTACCTGCCAGTGTGACCTCTGCCGGGGGGATAAACACGTTTCAGCAGAGGGGCTGTGAACGCTTTGACTAATGAAAGGTTATTAGCATTTCCCTGTTGTCTTTTGGGCTTGGAAGGCAGCGACCGAAGCCCTCGGCGTCGCTGGCTGCCCTGCAGCGCACGAGGCTGCTGCGCTTTGCTGGCCAAGAGGCGGCAGCGGGGCGGTGGGACCATCGTTAAACCGGAGGCTTTTAGCCAACAGCTAATGACGTGAAGCAAAGCCAGCGCCTCTGAATCAGCCTCTGCTGCCTCGGGTCTGTGAATCGCACCACGATTTATACGTGTTCACAAAAAATAACGGGTGCTGCAGGGCTGACCCAGCACCCCCTTACAGACGCTCCCGTGCTCCGCCCCTGTGAAATCCTCCGGCTGCTTTGATCCCGAGCCTGATTTTTCTCTGGCGGATGAGCGGCAATAGCAGCCGGGATGAGAGCTCTGACCTCCGTCTCACCCAGCCCCGCTGCCACCTCCCAGGACGCCGCTCCAGCCCCCTCGGCCCATCGCGCTCGAGCAGGCGGGAGCATTCTGCCTCACCGCTCGCTGCCGGCCAAGGGCGGAATTTGGCTGCGCAGCCCGAGAAGGTGATGCTCTCTAGCTCCTGAGTCCTACAGCATTCAGGTGAAAGCAGAGGTTTTTCTTTTTCTTTTTTTTTTATATGGTGCTGTTATTGTGGAAATAGTTTAAGTTGCTTTTTATTCAGTAGCAGCCTGTGTGGATGGTGCTTGGCTATAGACTCACTGCCCTTTGCTGTTCATCGGTCTACCCAAATAAAACACAAACGTGTTGCTGTGGTAATGAAACACACGTCCCCGTTCCTGGGGAGGGGGGGTTAATTGCCGACCAGTAAGCTCATGCCAGGCAGCGTGTGAACCTGGGACAAGATCTGCAGCGTGCCTGAGGGAAGGGGAAAAACAGAAACCTGAAAAAGAAGCAGAAGAGATCACTACATTAATTTTTCACAGCTCGCAGAGAAAGCAGCAGAAACGGACTCCTTAAAGTGAAAAGAATGGGCGCTTAAATGGCAAGGAAATGATTCTGTAAATTCTAGAGCTTTCGGCAAGTGTCAGCCAGTAATCTCACCCATTCAAATACATAAATTCAGAGATTGAGAACGCGTAAGGCCAGCAGAGACCATTACGATCATTTCTTCCGCCCTCCTCCCCCGCGTGGCTCGGGGGTACCTTCAGTGTACGTGTGAGAGTTGCCGAGTGCCAGGTCATGGAGCCTGACTTTTTATTTTACCCGATTCAAAACCCAGACCAGCACAAATCCGGAGCAAGACTGTGGAAATGACACTGCTACAAAACCCCATCTTACAGGAAAAATCAGGCACACGTGTGCATGGTTTTCAGATAACGGCCCATCGGGGTCACCAGAGCTACAAAATGAAGGGCTTCGAACAAACCTGTGACTGCAGGAGGCAAAGCGAGGCATTGGGCTGATGTATAGAATAGATAAATAGGCTCTGCGTGTGCGCGCGCGGGTAAAAACCTCGGTTGCAACAAACCTAATCAACAGGAGAATTCCTAATGTGCAGCGTGGGGCGTACCGGTCGTTGGCCTTCAGCGAGCACCGTGTGCCACGGGCGCCGCGTCAGCGCCGGCGGCAGAGCCTTGGCGCGGGCCTCGCTAAATGGCAGCGCAATTTGTTTTGCCAGGTGCGAAGTTCCCCCAAACTCCCCGGCAATTATTAAACCTCCTGAAACCGCACCGGCGGTACTCAGCCATGACCGTTGCTACCTGCCACTTTTTTCTTTGTTTTTGTTTTTCATCCACAAGGCCGTGTATTTTTAGCCTGATTTTTGTGCTGTCCCCTCTGTGGAATTCAAAGCGCGGGATCTGGCCGTGCCCAGGGCAGCGGCGATGGTGATGATGGTGACGATGCCCATTTCCACGGCAACCCAGCAGAGCCCCGTGCAGAAGGTCGTTCCCATAGCAAAGGGCTGACGAACACCTATACGGAGAAACGGGAACGGGAGCCGGGACCGCGCGGCGATGGCGCAGGTCAATCGCAGGCGGGGGTTTTGGTGGGGCCGTCTTTCCCGATCTCACCGACGCCGTGCCCCGGGTGGTTTTTACGTGAACCCTTCCTGGAAGGGACGGGTGAAGACCCTCACCCAGGTTATGGCGTCGCTCGGTGACACCGCTCGTTCCTCACCGGTGCGAACCACTGATCCCTGTGCCGGGGACTCCGCGTCCCTGCCCTGTCCGCGGGGGTTCACCGGAGGGGACAGACAGACGGAGATGGGTGCCGTTACTTTCGCTCCGGTGGGGAGGTCAGTGCTAGGAGGGAACTTCCGCGGGTGCATGAGAGAGGGGCGAGGCAGGCACCGAAAGCGCCCGGTAGATGCACTCGGCGCTGGGGACTCGCCGCGCCCGGCAGCCCCCCCGAGCG